TTCTGTTCGTGAGCGGGTTCAATCATGATTTTCTTTTACGAGCTTCCCATGATCCAGAAGTGTTACTGAAATATAAACCAACCGGGATGTCAAACGCGATTTTGGCGAACCGAATCAGTTGGTTCTACGATTTCAAAGCGGCCTCACTCACTGTCGATACTGCGTGCTCCAGCGGCATGGTTGCTTTTCATTTAGGATGTCAAAATTTGAAAAACAAGGAAAGTTATATGTCCGTCATCAGTGGCGTAAACCTGATCCTTTGGCCGATCGCCCTCTCGGACATGTCACATCACGGCTTTCTTTCGCCGGATGGCCAGTGCTACAGTTTTGACCATAGAGGGAACGGCTATTCTCGAGGAGAAGGTGTAGGAACTGTGATTCTTAAACGACTTTCTGATGCCCTGAGGGATGGAAACGTAATCAGAGCCATAGTCCGCGGAACTGGAGTGAATCAGGATGGCCGCACGCCTGGCATCACGTTGCCAAATGAAGCTTCTCAAATAGCGGTGATCCGTGAAGTTTATGAGCGAGCTAAACTTGACCCTGAAGATACACTCTTTATTGAATCTCATGGCACAGGTACTGCTGCTGGTGACCCGATAGAAGCTCGTTCAATCGCCCAGGCCTTTAAGACAAGTACCAGGAAGGATCCGCTATATATTGGGGCAATGAAGTCAGGGATTGGTCATCTCGAGGGAGCTGCTGGTATTGCAAGTGTTATGAAATCCGTCATGATGCTTGAGTCTGGGATTATCCCCCCGAATATCAATTTCGAGCGTGCCAACCCAAAGATTCCTACGGAGAAATGGGAATGTTTGCTTCCCACTTGAACCAACCCCATGGGCCATCCACTGGGGCGAAGAAGAATATCGATCATAGTATGGGTTCGTGACAATGCCATGCTATCTGATGATGCTTCTTCGTACTTGAAGTCACTAGGATTTGCCGGCATCCACAGAACTAGCCCCGTTCCACCGACTCCAGATGATTTACAACGCTTGCTTGCTCATTTTGATTCTCTATGCAAAAAAGAATCAGAAAATGTCTTGCCTGCCGCTGAATATGCCAATGGTGCTAGCCCGACGGAGCACGAGGGCAAAGAGGCAGATCATGTTAGAGTGACGGAAACCGATGCAATAACTGGCCACTCTACATCCCAACCCCTACTTTTCCTCCTATCAGCCTTCGATGAAATTGGAGTTTCCAGAAATGCCGGGGTTTTATCGGCGCATTTAAAATCCTTACCACCAATGAAAAAGCCTGGGAGCACCCAGTATATGATAGACTTAGCACACACGCTTTGCAAGCGATCGCGGTTCCCATGGCGAGCATTTTGCACGGCATCATCATTAGACGAATTGTTGCATAACCTTGAGTTCAAGTTATCGAAACCCGTTCGAAGTAATAAACGGCCTGCTCTTGGCTTCGTTTTTACCGGACAAGGTGCCCAATGGTATGCCATGGGCCGCGAGCTTCTGGCCTACCCGCGTTTCAGAAAGAGCATTGAGGCAGCAGATGACTACATAAAGAGTTTAGGAAGTACATGGTCGTTGTGTGGTACGTAAATTTGGCATATCATTGTTCTTATTAAATCACATACGTCTTGCTGATTTTGGATTCAAGATGAACTACAACAAGATCAGCACAATTCAAAGGTCCATGAACCTGCCATCGCGCATATTGCGTGTACTGCCCTGCAGGTGGCTATTGTGGATCTATTAGCCAGCTGGACTATCTTTCCCAGCAGGGTTGTGGGACATTCGTCTGGGGAAATAGCTGCAGCGTACTCTGCTGGTAAAATCGGCCGTAAATCAGCTTGGAAAATTGCATATTTTCGGGGGGTTGTGTCGTCTCTTCAACATCACACCAAGGGCAGCATGCTTGCTGTTGGTATATCAGAGCCCGATATTGCTCCTTATTTGGCGCGAGTTCATGAGGATCTCCAAGGGGAGCTGATCATTGCTTGCTATAATAGCCCAACGAACCTTACGATATCAGGAGATGAAGCAAAGATTAACGCACTAAAAGTACTACTTGATGCTGATTCAGTGTTCTCCCGAAAATTGGCGGTTTCAAATGCTTATCATTCCAGCCATATGAAAGCTGTGGTCAACGAATATTCTATGCTTTTGGAAGATCTCATATCCACAGATAAACTTGAACCCCCCCAGGATACCCATATGTTTTCCTCTGTCACCGGCGCGCTAATAGAACTGAACGACCTTGAACTAGCCGAGTACTGGGCTACGAACTTGATATCACCAGTAAGGTTCGTGAACAGCCTTTGTGCAATGTGCTTCGAAAACATATCAAAAGGCCAGAAATCTGTGCACATGGACGGGACCGCTGAGAATGTGTTCGTGAACGATATCGTGGAAATTGGGCCACACGGTGCCCTTCGGAGTGCAATCAAGCAGATTTTACAGACACAAAATACGCCTTCAATCGGTTATCTACAACTGCTGGACCGCAGCAATCCGGGACTAGGAACTATCCTCTCAGCAGTGGGTTCATTAACTAGCAAAGGCTACACCTTTGATGTATCCGATGCCATCAACGCACCAAATCCGGGCCAGCAACAAATGCTAGTCAATCTTCCGCCTTACAGTTTCGATCACTCGACCAGAGTATGGTATGAGAGCAGAGTCACCAGAAATCTTTGCTTGAGAAAGCATCCAAGACATGATTTGTTCGGCACTCCAGTGGCTGATTGGAATGCCGAAGAACCACGCTGGCGATATTTCATCCGGCTTTCAGAGAATCCGTGGCTACGAGAACATGCTGTTACTGGAAGCTATATATACCCTGGCGTTGGATATGTAGTCATGGCGATCGAAGCAGCGAAACAAATTTGGGATCCAACTATCACTATTTCTGGTTATCGTCTCCGTGACGTGTCGATTACGACAGCACTCAACGTCCCAGATACGAAACAGGGAGTTGAGGTGATGATATCGATGTCGCGCATGGATGAGTCAAGCCGAGAGAAATCGAAAATATGGTGGAACTTTCGCATCGCGTCGTTTAACCCTACTGGAGACGAGTGGATTGAACATTGTACGGGATATATAACTATCGAAGCTCCTGCGAAGCTGAATCCAATTGATAATGGTCAGGAAGCTGAAAAAGAGTCCGTCGCGTGGCAAAAAATGCTCAAAACGGCATTCAACACCTGCGTGTCCCCGTTGGATATGACTGAGATGTATGATAAATTGAGCAATATTGGACTAACACTCGGCCAGCTGTTTCAAAATCTGTCCGAAGTTAAGCTCGCACAAGGCTCAGGAGAAGCGACAGGAACGATCACTATTCCAGATGTCGCTAGCTCCATGCCAAAAAAGTTTCTATATCCGCATGTTATTCACCCATGCACGATCGACAGCATGCTACATTTGTTCCTTGCATCCGTCATTGATAGCTCCGGGCAAAACACGCTTTCAACGCTGATGCTACCTACCTTCATGAAGGAAGTGTGGATTTCCTCAGATATTACCAGCAATGCTCGGAGTACGTTTCGTGGGTATAGTAAATCTATATCAATTGCTGCTCACAAATACGAGACCGATATCCTCATTTGGGATGGAGCAGTGCATGAAGGCCGCGTCTCCATAAAAGGCCTCGTTGCATCTCCTCTTTCAAATTCCGAGTCAATTGCCAGCCAGGCCATGAAGATTTGTCATACTTTGGAGTGGAAACCCGATCTCGACCTGCTTAAATCGGGCCAACTAGCTAATACATCATCATCAGCCGCTCTTACCGTGCTTCACCAAAGAGAGAAGGTGCAGAACCTCCAATTCGCCAGTATGCTTATGATTACGGGCGCCTTGCGCGAACTTGAGGGCATATCCGTGGATATGTATAAAGGATACTTGCAAAATTACTACCACTGGCTTCTGGAACAAGTCACGGCTCTCCATTCAGACTCCATGCCTCACCTACCTCTTGATAAATGGATCAAGTACAAAGACGATCTCCAGTTCAGAGAAAACCTTCTTCGTAAATTGACAGAAATGGGTCCAGATGGAGAGTTCTGCGTCCGTTGCGGATCCAATATCGTTCAAGTGCTAAAAAAAGAAGTTGATCCCCTTTATCTCTTCTTTGGGATGGATGATCTTATAGAGAAAATCTATGCAGGAATGGTAGAGTCTGGAGATCTCCGCCATCTGATAAAGGCGTATGTTGACGTTATTGGTCATAACCGAACTGACCTCAACATTTTGGAAATCGGCGCCGGAACTGGAAGCTCGACAGCGACATTCTTGGAGACTCTCAGCCCCCTCCCCGATCCGGGGCGAAAACCCGCTGGGTCAAAGATCGAAAAATATACGTTCACAGATATCTCTGCTGGATTTTTCGAAAGAGCCAAAGAACGCTTCCAGAATTGGCGGAGTATTCTTGATTTTCATACCCTGGATATTGGCAGACACCCGAAGGAACAGGGCTTCAGTGGCTCTCAGTACGATATCATTGTTGCTGGAAATGTCTTACATGCTACACCAAACATTAGGGAGACCCTAAGGAATGTCCGATATCTTTTGAAGCCCGGAGGTAAGTTGATAATGTGCGAGGGTATCAGGCTCGACTTTGTTTTTACGGGGCTGGCGTTTGGTCAACTAGAAGGCTGGTGGCTTGGTGTGGAAGACGGTCGAAAATGGAGCCCTTGGCTTAATGAAAAAGAATGGAATGGAGTACTTCAAGAAACTGGATTTGCTGGTGTCGAGATTGCTTTCAATGACCGATCCGAGCCTGATTTACATTTCATGAGCGTCTTGGTTTCCTCCGCTATAGATAACGAAGATATCAGAAGGCCGCAGTCCTGCGGAAACACTGATTATTACATCCGGCGAGTCTCCGTACGATTTCCCGTGTGTCCTTGCCGACGAACTGGTCAATCGATATGCGCTTCAACATTGTTCGGTCTTGAAGTATACCGAAATCAACGGCAGGAACCTTGACAACGCACTATGTATCTCCTTGATAGAACTGGAAAAGTCCGTACTGTCAAATCCCACTGAAGAGGAATTCGATAACATAAGGCATCTTCTAGCCACTTGCAAAGGCTCGTTATGGGTTACCGGAGACATAACAGCAAGTCCAGAGTTTAATATGATCGCGGGGCTCATACGTTCCTTGCGCTGGGAGCGGGACCTGGAGAGCCCTAACTTGGTTACGCTCTCTATCTCTAATCCACAGCCAGCCCGAAAAGTACTATTGCAGGCTATTTTAGACGTCTTCAAACACCAATTTGTTACGCAGAGGGAAGACAAGGATAACGCGGAATATCTCCTAAAGGACGGTGTTATCTTGACTAACCGGCTTGTCGATGCGCCAGAAATGAATGACTACTTGACTGCAAAAGTCTCTAAACTTGCTGCGCAAATGATACCACTTGGGGAAGCCGAAGTCGGCCGACCTTTAAGACTTACAACAGCAGCTCCCGGGATGCTGAACGCACTTCAATTCGAGACTGATCCCAACTGGTATGAGCCTCTCGGTGAGTTCGACGTTGAAGTCAAAATCAAAGCTGTGGGCCTCAACTTTCGTGATGTAATGATAGCCATGGGCGAGCAGAACTCCGTTACCTTTGGGAGTGAAGGTGCCGGGGTTGTGACCCGTGTTGGTGCCGCTGTAACGAAAGTGAAAATTGGCGATAGAGTCGTCTTCGTCGATGGCGCAGGCAAAACTGGTACTTTCCAGACGTACGGGCGAGTAGCTGAGGACCTAGCTACTATGATACCAAAGGATTTGGAGTTCGAAGTTGCTGCGGCTTTGCCTTCCGTCTTTATGACCGCAATATACAGCCTGTATACACTAGCCGGGCTAACTAAAGGTGAGACTGTGTTAATTCACAGCGCAGCAGGCGGAGTGGGACAGGCGGCTATCATGTTAGCAAATCTTGTCGGTGCTGAAGTCTTTGCAACGGTTTCAACCCCCGAAAAAGCTGAGCTACTCATGAGAGAGTATGGAGTCAAACAAGATCACATCTTCTCTAGCAGAGATTGGGTGTTCGCCAAAAGCATCATGCGGATTACGAACGGTAGTGGCGTCGATGTTGTATTAAACTCCCTCTCTGGGGAATTCCTCCGTCGAACATGGGACTGCATCGCGCCGTTCGGGAGGTTCATTGAAATCGGGAAGAAAGATGCGCAAAGTGATGGGAGAATTACGATGGTAAGCACACTCAGCTCTACGCCATTGTCCTAGTTAACGAAAATGATACCTCTATCAGAGACCTTTCCTACAAAACGTTATGATAGCAAGCGTCGACCTTTTGACGATGATGCGGCACCGTCCAAAACAAGTGGTCAGCCTTATAAAAGAGACTATTCGCCTATATACGGAAGGGAAGATTAAAGCACCATCACCCATCAAAGTCTTCGACTACTCTCAGTTGGAGAAGTCTTTCCGCTCACTACAATCCGGTAAAGGCATGGGCAAATTTGTGATTGTTGCAACCGAAGATGCAGTCGTGCCCGTGGTACCACCACCGCTAGCCCCAGTGAGGTTACGTGAACATGCATCCTATGTCCTTTCAGGAGGTCTAGGTGGCGTTGGGCGTAGTGTCGCTTTATGGATGGCTTCCAAGGGCGCGAAGTCTTTGATCTTCCTCTCACGTTCAGGTTCAGCTAGCCCTGCTGCACAAGAGGTCATTCGCGAATTGCATAGTCGAGGAGCCACAGCTCATATATTTTCATGCGATGTGTCTGACAAGGCAGGTTTGGAAGCTGTTCTAAATCAATGCAAAGCCGAACTTCCGCCTATAAAGGGTTGCATTCAGGGAGCAATGGTACTCGCGGACAAAATGTTTGAAAATATGACTCACGATGAGTTTCAAATGGCCAGAAAACCAAAGGTTCAAGGATCTTGGAATCTCCACGTATGTCTTCCCAAAGATATGGACTTTTTCATCATGCTTTCATCCGCAGCTGGTCTGGTGGGCAATCGTGGACAGGCCAACTACACGGCCGGGAATACGTACCAGGATGCGCTCGCTGCCCATCGAGTCGCTCTTGGTCTACCAGCCGTATCGCTTGATTTGGGTGCCCTACTTTCCATAGGCTATATAGCCGAAAATCGCCAACGGCTTGGTAAAGTACAGTATATTGCCTCTTTGATGGGTACCACACGGGAGGAAGAGATCCATGGTATGATCGAATACTACATTACTCCGAAAGGGTCTTCCACGAGGCCTGCGCAGGTCGCCTCAACGTTGACAACTGCGGCGCAATACGCAGCTCGTGGCATGCCTGTGCCTTCATGGATGCATTCGCCCCTATTTACCCAGCTGTCCTCGACCAGCTCCGCCGCTACCGACACGATGGGAAACGACAAGACGGATTCAGGAATCAACGTTACTTCGAAACTGGCAAGTGTAACCTCCATTTCCGAGGCGAGTGACATTATTGCGGATGCAATACGGTCCAAGCTGTCCAAACTCTTAAGTATTCCCGTGGAGAATATTGATACCGCGAAAAGCGTTAGCAGCAATGGTATCGACAGCCTAGTGGCCATGGAATTTCGCACGTGGCTTGCCAAAATTCTCGGTGCAGATGTACCTCTGTTGGACATCTTGGGCACAATGCCTGTTGCGGGAGCGGGAAGTCTAAGTACGAAGGTGGCAATGGCGAGCAAATTGGTGCCAGAGACATTGAAGACGGAAGAGGTCAAGGCATCGTAGGAGAGCGGAGGGCGAGTTAAGGCAAGGACTCACGGGTGGCTACGGTTTTGTGACTATGGTTGCAACCGGTTTCAAACAGGAGAAATCTGTGTTGGTTTATATTTAGGGATATATGTCTTAATTTAATCGGGTCCGGTTAAATGGACACCCCCGTTGGTTAGATGGACACCCCGTACTGCTTTACATAAGCGGTCTAAGCCTAATTGAGGAAAAACCCTTGGTGAAATGGACACCCCTTGCTACCTTACATAAGTGTCCGACCTACCACTCACCCACCCAGGGGCCAGCAGCATCATGCTCAACAAGGCCAAATCCTTCAAATCCACAATAATAAATTACAAGATTGAGATTTTGATAGCATAATATCTATATTTACCTGTTCCCTATGTCATCACTGCTCATCCTGTGATGGGGGTACTCTGTCGGAGTACTCTGTACCTATGTATGGCGGAGATGCCACGACCTCGAAAATCACGGGATCGGGTTATCCTTACTCCGTGCCAGGTATGTTTATATAATATAGATTCCGCGCCAAGAGTTGAAAGGGGTGTCCATTTAACCAAGGGTTATTACCTAATTAGGCTTAGCGCTCTGATAAATTGCTTATGTAAGGCCGTATGGGGTATCCATCTAACCAACGGGGGTGTCCATTTAACCGGACCCAATTTAATCTAGCTTCTGAACCACACCTAGTTATTTTAGGGCTAGTCAGCTGGGCTGAAGAAGGAAAATCTGGTCAAACTTATGCAGACATCTTGATCCTCCTTTCAACAAAACATCCGTAAAAGCCATGCGACACTATAAATAGTTGAACCGATTAAATTTATTTAGAAACTCTCAAACTAAAGGGCCAGATGAATGTCGAACAGCTTAGTGCAACTGATCTGAACGGAATTCCTCCATCTGATATTCCGTTTCAGAGCCGTATAATTGTTCCTCCACGTCGCCTTGACGCCGTTGAGCGTTAGTAAGGGCCGCATAAGTTGAGCTTGTTCTGGAATATGGGGTATCACAATCAATCGATCGCAGAGGAGGATAGTATCTGCGATAAGTAAAATATGCTATAAGCAGTCCCAAAAGAGAACCACAAGTCACATCATATACGTCATGCCGATAATCTGCCAGTCGTGACATCGCGATCATGAGTGCTCCGAGGAGAGGAGCGGCGGAAAAGAGGAAACGGGCCAAACCTGAGCGAGGGCGAAATACATGTAATTGGCCTGCAAAGAATCTATTTCCTCGGGGCAAACGAGAAGATTAGTAAAAGCTTTGCAATATTTGCAACAAAGACGAGAGTTAAGGCTTGAGCATACAAGGCAAGATATCCAAGTCCACCAAACGCGAAACTGCTATGTCCGCTGGGAAAACTCCTCCATCCTTCATGAAGGATGTGATGATCAGTCTCTAGGCACACACTAAAGGAGACGAGTGAACGTCCTGGTGTGCCCTTTTCAGGCTTGCACCGAGAGATCAAATCTGGCCTGGGGCGTCCCACGGCATTTTTTATCACATCAGTCAAAAATGAGGTAATGATGAGCGTTGCTAAGAACCCCAGTATTGTGACATGGGCGAAATGAGAGCCATGGTTTGTGACAGCAGCCCATATCGCAATTACCAACAGTGGAATGAAGCCAGCATATATAACGGCCCATACTGGATAGACGAGTGAGTACGAACGCCGGATTCCGAGGAAAACTAGAAGTGTGCCTACCGACTGGCACTCTCTCTATAACCGCAAATGGGAACTGTATGGAGCCATTGTCTAACGAGAACATTCGATGGAATGGTTCTATGAAAATTTGGATCTAGGTTCCCATCAGCTACTCGTAGCAACAGCAGTAAGGCTTTAGATAACTCACCATACACCATCCTGCGGTGACAATAGCAAGGCTGATGTAGTCAGCGGCGTATGATCGATACCAGAACCGAGTCAGGGCGCCTAAACAACCCGGTCTGCTCGAAATGCCAGAGGGTTTTCGGCTCCGGGACGTCGTATGGTCATTTTGGGCCATTGCGCAAGGGAAGGACATGGGATAATATTATCAAATCATAGTATCTGATCATTGTTTGCGCTTCAAACTAATCGCGCATCCATTGCCACCGAATATGCCCAGCAGTTCTTCTCCTGGCAGCAAGATTGACAAGCTGTCAGTTCCAGGGAACATCTCAAGCCGCGTCTCAGGAGTTGACAGGTGCTGACTAAGCCCGCAAACTCCGGCGCGAACTCCTTAACTTGGTCAAACCAGCACTTGTGAACTCTCACCAAGCAAAACAGTTATCAGTGATCTCAACATGGAGGAGGGGGGCCGTCAAAAGGGCATCACAGCTGCGTTTCCCCCGCCGCCGCCATTCTGGAGGCACTTTACTCCTGAAAATCTACAAAAACTTGAGAAAGCTAAGAGAGAAGCTGGGCCCCAAACCCAGAGCCACAGATGGACTCCCCAAGCCCTCCAGGCTCTTGAACTTCCTCCGGAGCTTCGCTACCTTGTTCCACCGGAATTCCCAAAAGAAGGCTCATATTCTCTCTTTGGCGAATCACAGTCGGTATTACTTTACCATTCCTCCATCTTTATTTCCATCCGCTGACGACACCACCGGTAGCTATCAGGAAGCCTTCCATCACTTGAGGAACAAGGGCTAGAACAGCTTTTCCCCTCCAGCCTTACGGATGAAGCTGCGGGCCCATCGCCGGATCACGCATACTATCTTTTGAAAATCAGCAAATCCCTCCTGCTCAACTTTTTGGAATTGGTAGGCGTATTATCAATCAGCCCAGAACATTATGAACCCAAGGTCGATCATATCCGGAGCTTATTCATTAACGCGCATCATCTACTGAACGTGTATCGTCCACATCAATCTCGAGAGTCACTGATTACGATGATGGAAGAGCAGCTGGAGAAGGCAAAAGAGGAAATCCAGGAAATGGACCAAATGAAAGCATGTGTTGAGCGTTACCTCAAGGAATTGGAGACAGAAGGGCGAACCATATCTTATCAGGGCGAGCTAGAGGGGACAGCAGAGAAACTAGCGGCTGCAGCCGAGACCAAAACAGCCGAGCCTCACTTGGACGGCGCCCAGGAAATGTGGGATCTTCTGGATCAGATTGAGAACAGCTGAGCTCCTACGTCTATATTGACACGGCTTCGATATCCAGAGGAGTACCGCTTTGCGGCTCTCAGCTTGGCTGTGCGGCTTTAAACCTGCTAGTCAGTCAAGGCTTGCGCTCGCCTACCGTTGACCGCTTTTGGTCGGTAAAATCAACACAACAGCCACATTCCTAGACTTACGATCTACATCCGCGAAACCAGTGGGTATCAATAAGCAATCCTGCGATGCGCAGTCATTGCTAACTCTTGACTGCGCCTGAGGAGCCAGATTAGATTAGGTCTAAGCCCTACCCTGCCAGCTTTAGTTAGCTCGTCTTAGTAATCACAGAATCCTTTCGTCTCATCTTTTCCAAATTCAAAATTCGAGCTTCTCGTCCGCACAGTTGCAATGCAGGCCCATCCACGGAGTAATCCGATACTCACGCTGAGGTTCCGATAATAGCTAACTCTCGATCAGGACCTTGATGTCTTGATAATGGACTGGGTACGTCAATGTCTTTCCTCTTAATACATGGATCAACACCCAAAGAAGCTCATGTCTCAATGATGATTGATGCTTTATCAATATGTTTCAACCCCATATGAAAGCAAATCGCTTTTTTGATTTTAAATGCATCTACATATCTGAATTTGGCCATTGTTTCAACTATTGCGGTTCTGTTTTTGGTTTATTCGTGTGTTGCCCGACTAACTCGATCTTAAGCATCACTCCCAATCCATGTCGATCCACGGCTATTAGCTGATTGGAGATGGTACTGCAGGACGTATTAGAGCAATTTTGTATGGCTCACC